AGAAAACCTCAACGGAGCTGTTTCGAGCCGCAGCGAGCAAGGTTATGATTGCCAATATGATTTCCAACATCCAAAACGGATAGGAACCAGAAGAAGAAGATATTTAATTGTTTAAAGATAAGTATTACAATAGAAAACTTTAAACTAGTCATAAATAAATTATACCTATTTTTTTAGTCACCACTACATAACGGTACCAGTGCCCCGTTATTTAGCTTATTCGTATACAGGTATATCTCGCACATCCTGCACATCGCACCAAATGTTGTAGAACCGGTATCGTACTATCGCCTTCATAATTTCTATTGCTATTCAATTCGCATATTCTTATAAATAGCTATATTCAGAATTAATGCCTTTTTATTTTTCCATAAGAGTTGCTAACTGCGCTTTTCAAATAGAAGCTATAAAATCGCCGGTTGTTATAAATTACTCATCACTAAACTGGACTATTATGCATCCATATATAGAAGCAAGATCAATCACTAAAGACAACCCCATTCTATTCCTGATCCCAAGCCAATCGTTTTCTGCACCATTTAATATGATTACGTCGATATTCAGGGATAAGAGGTAGTGACCATTGAATTGCAATAGAACTGGTAGTGAAGAAGCGTTCTCTTAAAGCCATCAACCTTGGCGACGATCTTGACGCTCTGTTGTTCTTTGACGCCTCCCTGTGCCCCCTAATCTTCGTGATCGGTCATCTTGACGCCATGCCCGATAACATCTTATAGCGCCTTCACACGATCGGCGATTGCCATTCTACGATCGGCGATTGCCATTCTACAGATCATCGCGGACATCCGATGAACACGGACGGCAACGCACTACAGATAGAGCTCTTCCTAAGGTCCGTGATAGTCTCTACTTTTGTTTTTTTCCATTTGTATGTCGACATTAAATTGTCGCTCTTCTTTTTTAAGGCTTTAATCGAAATAGTACTATTCTTTAATTGGTTGTTTATTCGGTTCCAAGCATCGTATATGTCGTTCCGGTTATTATACTCTGGCGTCGTAGAATTCCATAAACTTGGTTCATTTTGATGCAAATTAAAAGTAACTTTGTTTTTCCATTCCATTTTTTAGCAAAAAACTAATAAAACAAATGCAAAACAACTTTGACAATACTATAGAGAACTTTTCGTGTCAGAAAATAAACTATCTGTTAAAACACGGACGTGCTCGTATCATATCGTACCTTTGATGTTACCGACTCTCGATAGATACGACGCACCACTACAGACGTGCACGGACGACGGACGAGATATTTCCCACGGTGCGTAAGTGCGAGCTGGTCTGCGTCCATCGCCGATCGTGGGAACAAGCCTTTAACTAGGGATGTACCGGATCGAATACCTGACCAATCCAGCCGAAACCGGAATTCCTACCGCTAACCGGACCGGACTTTTACAATTGCTATCTACTCAAACTTGTAACTCAAACAGATGTAATGAAAATTTCTGCTTTAGCTTCTTAGTTTCATTACGTATGCAAATTTTGCAGATCTATTGTAGCTATGCCAAAATATTTATAAAACTGGCAGCGACAGTGTAGTAATTTTAATTCATTCTGCTGTTTCTCTTGCAGTAAACGGAAGAATCCCGACCCATTTCATTTTTCATTTCACTTACGATTTTCATTTTCAGTAATGAGTCGTGTTTTGCAACACTGACTGTACTGAAATTAGCATAATTTAATTAGCATTTATATTTTAATAATTATAATATTTTAATTTCCTTTACTTTACTTTATTTGTATTTATTAATTCCTTAACATTCACTTTCTTTTTTCTATTTTTTCTTCAGAAAATAGTTGGCACCCTCTCTCTCTCTTTTGGGTATACTATATGTTCTTTTCTATGTTGACAGAGCAGCTAATTCCGTCATAGATACATGTTCTATATGTGTTCTATTGCATCTGTGCTATACTTCATTGTACTCACAACTTTGGTCTTCCACTTATTTGTGGTGTGTCTTTTTTGTGTGTAGTTGGAATTTATAAAAAAGGTAAAAATTATTATAAGGTTCATTTTATGGTCTGCAGAAACCTCTTGGGGTGAATACTTTCATTATAACCTATATTTCTAGATCTGACAGTATTTTCAATATTCATAACCTCACTTCTTCCAAAGCCACGTGTTCGATTTTATGCATATAGGTGTCTTACAAAACTTAAATAATTTTAATAATAATTATATTCCACTTTATCCACAAAAAAAGCCCAAATCAACTGAAGGACAGTGGTTCGGTGAAGAGTGGCGTAATATAACAGAGAGAAAAAATAATGCATACCAACGACTACAACAATGACAAGAACACGAAAGGCAGAGGAGGAATATAGAATGGTAAGGAGCGAAGAGAAGAAATTACATCGCAGAAAGAAAAGAGAACACATAGAAAAAGAACTCCAAGAAATGGAAGAACGAAATAAACCATCAGAAAACAGAAAATTCGACCAAAAACTTGACAAAAATAGAAAAGAATTTAAACCAATAACAATGATGTGTAGAGACAGAGAAGGAGATATAGTAACTCAACAGAGTGAAATACTACAAAGATGGATAGAATTCTTCAAAGATAAGTTTGAAAAAAATGAAGATCCACTATATGATGGAATTATACTGGATCAAACAGATACCAGAGAAACAACCCCCAATCAGTAGCTGAAATGCAAGAAGCAGTTACCAGACTGAAAAACAACAAGTCACCTGGATTAGACAACATTAGCGCAGAATTAATAAAGGAAGGTGGAGCTATTGAAAAACTAGAATACCGGAGTAATTATCCCACTACATAAAAAGGGAGATCGGCTTCAATGCAAAAACTACCGGGCAATAACGCTACTGACTGTGGCATATAAAATACTGTCAAAAATACTACCGATTGAGACCATATGCGGAACAAATAGTTGGGGGATATCAATGTGGTTTCCGCAGGCAGAAGTCCACAATAGATTAGATCTTCGTCTTAAGGCAAATCTTGGAAAAGACTAGTGAATTTAATATAGACACACATCATCTTTTCATTGACTTTGAGAGTGCCCATGATAGCATCCATCCAGATTTTCTGATCCATGCACTGAAAGAGTTTAATATACCAACTCAACTCATTGATATAGTAAAAGAAACACTTAAAGTACAAAACAAAATTCGAATTCAAAACGAACTAACAGATACAATCCATATGAGAACGGATCTACGACAGGGAGATGCCCTATCTTGTATTCTATTCAACATCACATTAGAGAAAATAATTAGGGAGTCAAAAGTCAACACTAGAGGAACAATAATAATAAAAAGTGTACAAATATTGGCATGTGTAGATGATGCTGATATCATAGCTAGAAGCTAAAGAGAGATGATAGAAGCATTTAATGCTATAGAAAGAGCGGCACAAAACAGTGGCCTAAACATTAATGAAATAAAAACCAAATACATGAATTCCAGTAAATCAACAGGCCAAAGAAACCTACAGAATCTGACAATATGAGACTATAACATTGAAAGCGTGAAAAGTTTTACATATATAGGGGAAGGTTTTACATATAAATGAAAATGACATATGGCGCAAAAGATATAACTTTGAACTATACACAGCGTACAATGAATCCGAGATCGTAACATCCATAAAGATCGGACGTCTGCGCTGGATGGGCCATGTTGAACGGATGTTGGAGACTGAAACGCCAAAACATATAATGAGGCAAACACCAGTAGGGAGAAGGTCAAAGGGAAGACCCAAACTTAGATACATGGAACAAGTGGAACAAGATCTGAAAACACTTAAGATTACCACCTGGAAAAACTAAGCAAAGAACAGTTTGCCACTTTATCCGTGCTATCTGCTATTTGTTTAATTGTGATTTTGTAAAATAATTGGCACGGAAGTTAACCCCCTTTGATGTCTCGGTAATACACTCTGTGTTATATTCTAGTTTATGGAATAATTTATATATAATTTATTGGTACTAGTGTAGTAAGACGGAACGATGCCTACGGAGATGAAATTTATATCAATGAATTCTCCTTAAAACTACAAAGCGGTTCATCAACTTGAAATCTGCTCATTTAGTGACAATCCATCCAACCACCATCAGGAGCCATCAACAACTTACCCTATCAACCACGTGAAGCCATAAGTATCAATTTCAAATTTGTTTATTGTAAAGCAATAGGCAGGGTTTGCTTGTGCAAAATATTATTATTTTGTTTGTTTTATGCTAAATAAACATGATTAGTTAATTCATTGTTTTATTTGTTACCGACTAAATTTTCATTGTTTAATTCATAGTTTAAGACAAGATGGATTCACACTTGAGAGACTGAGCTAGGCGAAGCTTAGACGATAAGCTCCCATAGTTGATTAAAGTATTATTTTATAATAGTATTTGAATTCTCTTTGGTAGTCTTATCATTACAAGTGGTTAGCCAATTAAAAAAAAATTAATAAAAAACGAAAAACCAAATTGATATTCCTCAACTTCTAACCATTTATTGTTTTTGTCAGGATAAGCCTGTATTCCAAATTTTATTAAAATATAATAATTCATAATTTGTGTTCAGATTTGTATGTAACTTAATATTTATTGACTCTAACCTATCTCCAATCATTTTGAAGTCTAAGATGAAAGTTATTTTGAAAGAGTGAATATTAGAAGTTATATGAAGTTCAATAACGTATAATCTTTTACTATTGAAATATTCCCCTGAAAAATCCACGTTATCCATTTTTAAAAATCAATTATTTTACAAATTACTCTTTCAATTTCTTTAGTGCAATTACATGTTTTATATTATTCCTTAACAATTATTTGGAATATAAAACTTCTTTAAAGTTTCGTGTTATTGGTAATAAGCCTAATAACACGTAAAGACTTAATAATAAAATTTGGTGAAAAATACTTCTAATAACACTAAATTTAGAAAATTGGACAATTATTTTGCGTATAAAACAACAAAATTTAGTATTTTATTTTCATTATCCAAAAAAGATTTCCACAATGGCTACGAAAAATGTGCTGTTGGATTTTAAGAAATTTTATTTAAGAGATATGAGATTGCTGAATAATCTTGGCGTGTATGTACCAGTAGAAAAAAGTAAATATCCTAAGCTTTTTGCATTTTATTGCTTCATGGTATTTTTCTTTTTTATGGGTTTACTAAATGGAGCTCAGTACTTGTACACTTTTATCAACGCACAAAGTATTCGCGATTTTGCAGGTAAGATATCATTTTTTTTTATTTTATTGCTTATTTTAAAAACTTGAAACTATATTGAAATAAAATAAACTCCTGGATAAAATTTAAAGCTTAACCTTTTACTGTAACTTGTTTTACTTGTTGTTTTCACTCATGAAATATACGAACGAGTATTGTACTGTACAAGAAGCTTATTAGACCAGCTCCGATCGGGTTGAGGTTGGTTGTAGAAATCAGAAGGTTGTTTATAACTAAAATTTAAATACTTTCAAGTTGGAAAAGTTGTTGAAATATTAGGAAAAATTTTAGAGCAAAAAATGGACAATCCCTATTGTTCAATATTTTATCCTCAATATCTCGGAAAGTATCATATCTAAGACAAACGGATATGGATAAAATTATTTTGCCATTAAATTTCCTTTCAAAAATGTCCCAAACTTTGTTATAAAAAATTTAAGCATAAAAATGTAATCTTTTTGTTATTTTTGCATGATTATTGTGCAAACAAGAGTAAAGAAAAATAATAGTATATTACATAACGAGAGTTGTAAGAAGCTTATTACATGCGAGTAAAAAAGTTGCGAGCGAGCCGCGTAGCGGCGAGCGCAGTAATTTTACAAGCATGTAATAAGCTTACAACTCAAGTTGTGTACTATACTTTTTCTACTATTATTTTCGTTTATAAAAATAAAAATTAAATTACCACTATATTTACACTGACAGATTAATAATTTTTAATCTGTCAAAATAACGTCTGTTAGTTCGTTTCCATGGTAACTCGACCAACTGACTTACGAGGCTTATGTGATTTTGACACATTTTTATACAACTGAAGCGTAATTTTTTTTATTACGTGCTAGTCATTACGTGTCAGTATCTGTTATGATGCATTTACTTAGCATCCAAATAGTAGGTAATATACAATTTACTAGTAAGAGAGTAGAAAAATAAGATTTCAAACCAACCTTGAAATATTAAAATTGGGTAATATGGGTAACTAGACGATCCTGTGAAATTTTTATAAAGAGGTTATACAAGACTGGTTTATTATTTATTGAAATTTGTTTTTACCATAAAGTGACACAGGTGTTAATGTATTAAATCATTGGTCACATTTAGATACTATAGTTTATTTTTATGAACGAGGGAGTAATTAGCATAATTTTAACTGGTCTCTCCGACCACTCCATGGGCGTGCTCAAGATTAATTGAAAAATTACTTTGAATAATTGTAAAAAATAAATGAATTATTTCAGTGGTATAAAGTGTTATGTGTATGTAAACAAAAGTGACCTCTTTTATCCACACTATATTAGAACTGACTGGCCTACATTAAAAAGGGTTTTAAAAAATTCACATTTTTTGTAATTTTTAAAAATTACAAAAGAGAAAAAGAATTTTTAAAACCGTCTAAGGTATGTTAAATAGATGAATAAAAATATTAATATAAAACTTACAGCTACTTGTTACAAATCCAAATCAGATTCAGAAGATGAACTTTCAGAACCAAGATTTATAATAACTTGCTCGATCATTTTATCAGTAATATTGTCCAGCTTCCACATTTTTTCCTCTTCTTTAATAGTGTGATTTACTGCCTTTTCCCAGTTTTCAGGTTTTACATTATTTACGGCCTCCAAAAACAACTGTTTAACATCATGAATTTTAAAAGTGGTATTTTTTCTTGAAACTTCACTCTTTATCTGTGCCCATACCAGTTCAATCGGGTTTAATTCACAATGATATGGTGGGGATCTAAGTACTGTCATTCCACGATTTTTGGCAATTTCATTAATTTCGTATTTTTTAAATTTTTCTTTATGAAGGGCACACAACGAATAAAGTTCCTTTCTTATAGATCCGGGATGGTACGTAATATTTTTTGAACTCAGCCAAATCTGCAAGTCTTTTTTTAACCACTTGGTTGTGGGCAGTCCTTCTATAAGTCTGGAGTGATAACTAGCATTATCCATTACTATTACACAGTTCTTAGGAAGAAGGTCTATCATTTGTTCGAACCATTCTTGAAAGACATCAGCGTTCATGTCTTCATGGTAGTCACCGGTACCAGTTGATTCAAAAGTTAATAAACCACTTTCAACAAAACCGTCTGAACTGTCAATGTGTACTACTATCAGCCTGCGTCCCTTTCCTGATGGTGGGTTTAAACCAGTAGATAAGTTATTTACAAAAGCGTGCCTTTGACTTGTAACAGTTTCATCCTGCCAAAATTTATTTGGTGTATGACCCTCGTTGATCCATGTTTCATCAAGATAAAATATTTTTCTTTTTTGGTTTCTCATTTCCTTTATGGTTCTTAGAAAATGTCTTCTCCATATGACAATATCGCTTCTTTCTAATAAAATAGACTTTCTGGCATTCTTTTTCCAGCGGAAGCCCATTTCTTTTAAAAGTTTCCATAACGTACTTCGACTCATTTCTGGGTAATCCTTATCATCTCGAACTGAGACAAGAACTTTATCCAATGTTGGAAATTCTTGTCTAAAGAAGAATTCATGCACTTTCTGTCGAAGTCCTTCTTTAAAATGATATTCTATTTGAAATTTTGTTTCCAGTTTCCCTGGAGCATTACGTGGCATTTGAAAACTACCACATTTCTCTTCTTTAATAACTCTGTAAATCGTAGATTTCCCAACATCAAGTGTACTGCTAACTAACTTAACGGTCTCATCAACACTTTCACATAAACGTTTGTTTGTAAATGATTTAAAACAATTAAATATTAATGTTTTTTCATTAACTGTTAAAGAACCAATTTTTCGGCGTTTACACGGCACTTCCAAATTTTCCATAACACTAGTATACACAATAAACTGCACCTTGTAACTGAAGTACCTACTTTTAGTGAACTGTTAAGAATTTTGAATACGCCACTTGGACCTTCCTACAAAATGGAAAAACCCACTATAACATTTTCTGTGGAATAAGTTTAGAAGGTAATTATCTAGTCAATTACTGTCGTAGATTCCTGGAATTAAAGAATTAAATGTTTGATTGTTGAAACCCTTACTTCGTGGAATGCACTCATTTCAGATAAAATAAAACGTTTTATTTTATCTAAAGAATTAAACTTTATTTTGCAAATAGGTAGGTACTTATTAAACTTTTATTGGTTATATATAACCAATAAAATAAACATCTTACATTTCTTGCAAATTCATTAGTACCTGTTAACCTCCATCACTCCGATACTGGCAACCTTGTTTAGGAATTAGTAACCCTCACAACTATTGTATTCTATTCTGCTCCAACCTTTATACCTGGTGGTCATACTCAATTTAAAATTGTTTTCCTATATACTTCTGTAAACTTGTTGACAAATATCTGTTTTTCATTGAGTCACCCGTATCAACAGTTTAGGGATTTACATACATAATTTATTGTTTTATTACTCTCTCATACATAAAAATACACTATAAGTGTAAATATGGTTTCACAGGTAAGATTCTTCATCACACCCCGTACTTAATTGTAAGGGATTAAATAGAATTAAGTTAATAGGGCTATTTCACAAGCTCGAAAGAATCATTTATAAACTTGTTTTATTTAGACAACGACACCAATCAGGAAGAAGAATACATACATTAAAAGAATTCAAGCACACCTGTGAACTATTAGAAAATAGACATCTTCATAGACGCTGGGGCGTACTTATAGAAGACTTATTTAGGTTATTTTCGTGCATGGTTAGCTATAGGTAAAAAATCTTAAAAAAAATATTCGTCGCCATTCTGTTCGGTTTTTGGCAACATGTTGCCATCTGCTGATTTTTAATATTCGTAAGTCGATTTCTACTCCATCTAACCACCTAATTCGCGGTCGGCCTTTACTTCTTTTTCCTACAGGTGTTCCTGTGGTTAGCTTTTCAGCAATGGTATTTTCTGGCATTCGTATTATGTGTCCAGCCCATCTAAGTCGCTGTGTTTTAATGAACGTTATGACATCTGGCTCATCAAAGAGCTGATACAATTCAAAATTATAACTTATGTGCCACTGCCCTTGGTCGTTTACAGCTCCAAATATTTTGCGGAGTATTTTAGGCTCAAATATTCCCAAAAGTCTTTCATCTTTCTGCGTTAGTGTCCATGTTTCTGCTCCATATGTGAGGACCGGCCTCAGCAATGTTTTGTATATAATAATTTTAGTTCTTCTTTGAATGTTTCTTGAGTGGAAATGCTTTTGGAGTCCATAGTATGCCCTATTTGTAAGATTTATTCGTCTTTTGATTTCTTCGCTTGTTTTATTGGTAGCAGTCAATAGCGACCCAAGGTATGTGAAGTTGTCAACACGTCCAAAGGTATGACTTCCAAAGACTGTTTCTCGTTCCTCATTTGCTATCGGATCCTTTGTAACCAACATGTACTTGGTTTTGTCTTCGTTGATGACTAGACCGACCTGTTTCGCCGCTGTTTCCAATTCTAGGAGATATTGCTCAACATCTCGCTTGCTACGCCCTACTATGTCAATATCATCAGCATATGCTAAGACTTGTATCGATCTATTGTAAATCGTACCGCCATCCCTAATTCGTGTATCTCGGACTGCCTTTTCTAAGGCAATATTAAATAGGAGGCAAGCCAGAGCATCTCCTTGTCTGAGTCCATCCTTTATCTCAAAGGATCTAGAACTCTCTCCCTGTATTCTATCAGTGGCTTTTAAGTTAGACATTGTCATTCTCGTTAGTCGGATAAGTTTCTCTGGTATACCAAACTCATGCATTGATTGGTATAGCACTGTTCTCTTGACACTGTCGTATGCGGCCTTGAAGTCGACGAATAGGTGATGTAATGTAATGTAATGTAATGTTTTCTCGAGAATCTGTCTTATTGAATGAATCTGGTCAATTGTTGATTTTTCTGGAGTGAATCCAACTTGATATTTACCAACTATGCCCACTGTGTAAACTTGCAACCTTTCGTAGAGAATATTTGCTAGTATTTTGTAAGCAGTTGTTAACAGGGTTATACCTCTATAGTTGTCACACTGGAGCTGGTCACCTT